CTTATGTTTCTGACTTGGCCCAATCCAGATACCTATCCTTCCATAACAAACTTCAGAACCATCCAAACCCTCTCGTTTCTAACCTTGCTTCCTCTTTGATCCCTGACAACCATCCGAGGCGTCTGAAAAGAACATAACCTTGAGATCTGTTTTTGTAGAGTGCTACCAGTGGGTAGTTTCTCAACAAGTGGTTTTATGTTATTATATTCTTTTTTTCACATTTACTGAATGTATTTTTATTTGTAATACAGTTGTAAATATCATCAATAAAAAAATAAAAAAAAAAGTTTTCGAACACTTTTACATCCAACACGGTACTATATATGAGCGTGAAGTAGAATCTCCTTGTCTCAGACATTTCTCTATATTAATTAATGGCCTTGTTTTATCCGTTTCTATTTTGCTTTTGTTGCCTTTATAAAGTTGGTTTATTGTGTTTCTCAAAGGCACTTTTGCTGGATGCTGAGAACTGCATCATGATTTAAGAGATCAAAGGCTTTTATATAATCGATTAGACCGATATAACTATTTATATGGTATTTATTATATTTTTCTGTTAGCGGGTTAATGGTGTATAAATAGTCTATGGTAGAAAATAATTTCCTAAATTCTGATAGTTTTATTGATTGAACTATTGGAAATTTTGATTTGATTTTTTTTTTGTGTTTTTTGGTTTATTTTTGTAAATGTTTTATTATTATTAGCTATCAAACTGAAAGGAATTTAGATATTAATGAATTTTCTTATGTAGCAGAATTTCATTAAATATACGTGTCGGAGGAGTGGTAATTACATCAATTATAGGTTTTATAATCTCTTCCGTAAGATTGTCTATACTTGGTTTTTTTCCACTTTTAAATATTTTAAACCTCTTCTTCTGCTTCAGTAGAAATGTATACAATATATTAAATACACATAACGCCGTTCCTGGAGCCCCCTATTCGCATTAGAAAAACCGGTAGCGAGATATGTGTCAACTCGCTCGTTATGATATAATAGTTGCTTAAGTATCGATCCTTGCATACAGGTTGTACAATGGATTAGATTGAGAAAGCAAATAAAAAAGATTAACAAAATAATACTTTTAAAAAAAAAAATCATTCTTTCGGGCTGAAGCCCCCTCCCCCCTTCACTCCCAAAACGGTAAAATATTTGTTAAAATATTAAAAACTATCTCTTAAAGTATTATTGTTCGTGAGATTACATTAAGTAGGACTTCAAGAATCACTTAAACACCATTTCATATAGGTAGTTAATTTCTTCTTTTTTTTCAACTTAATTATCGTTATATATTTGAAAAAAAAATCTTTCGGGCTGAGCCCCCCCCCCCCACCAAAATTGAATCCTGGATCCGCTAGTGCATATCAGTAACCATTTACTTTTTACTATCATTTTTAAATAGTTTTATAATTTTAAATGAAAAGTTTTCAATGCAGATTATAATATTATATTATACAATTTTTATGTATTTATTATTTTATTATTAGCGATTTTTTAAACGTGCAAATAGTAGAGAATCCCCCCTTTATTCCTTTTAAAACATTATTCGAAACGCTCCAACACCGCGAATTTTAAGGTATTCTTTGAAAATTATTCCATCATACTCTTCGTTTTACACCCATATTCCATCAAAGGGCTCCATCAAAGAGTTTGAAGGAGGCGAGAGAGAATTCGATCAATAGGGGAAGTGTCCCCTTCTTTAAATTTTTGAACCAATTATGCCCGATGCTTTTAGCATCACATTATTTCCGTTCAAGGCTGTGAAAACACCAAGCGCAAACTTGGGACTCTTACATTTGTCCAATTGGACATTTTTCATTTTTTTTTTCTTCTTGAAGTTCTGTTTGTCTAATTGGTATTGGACTAAATAAGGAATTTTATTACCTGTTTACTTCGTATTTTAACAAACCTGTGCCCCAATTCTGAGCTGTTAAAAAAATAAGAAATAAAAACTTAAAACAAGGAAGAAGAAAAGTAAATTTTATTCTGGGACATTTAGTCTCCTAAGAATAATGATAATGAACAATAGAGCTAGTTTTGAATATGATGGTCAATCAATAATTAAATTACAGAGTTATGTAATCTTAATATTGAATTAAAGAATAAGTATGAATAAACAAAGGTAACTATAGATTAATGTCAATATTTTTACATATTTGCACATATTATATGAATATACAGTGGCTTACAGTTAAATTAACAAACCTTGTGGAAAAATAAACTGTTTAATAGGTCTATTTATAATCTCAGTTTAAATATATACAGACTAAATAAAATTAAAATATTTAACAGTGATTATTAAAAAAAAATAACAACAAAAAACATTAAATTTTACTTCACAGTCAAAATGATACACCTAATTTCTAATTAACTTTTAAATATTATTAATTTAGTTCAATGCCTTATAGGGAAGCCATTATTTTTTACGTCTTGTTTCAGTTTGTTTGAAAAATGGAGACCCCCAATTTTTTGTTAAATTTTGGGATTAGCCTATTGCACT